ATCCATGATGGCTTCATGATTGATGCTTCTGGCGGAGCCTGCAGATCCCAGGCTGTGGTGAGCTCACTGAATACTCCCCATCTCCCTCCTTTCTGTCCCCCACCTGTCTCTCCCCCCCCCTCTGATCTTCCAGGAGTCCAGCACTCCGCTGGATTCTGATGTACGGGGGCACCCTGCTGGACTCTGATGTAAGGGGGCACTTCGCTGAACTTCTATGTAAGAGGGCACTCTGCCATATTCTGCTGCAAGGGGGAACTCCACTGGATTCTGATGTAAAGTGGCACTCTGCTGTACTATGACGTAAGGCGGCACTCTGCTGAACTCTAATGTAAGGGCACTCCGCTGAACTCTGATGTAAGGGGGCACTCTGCCAGATTCTGGTGTAAGGGGGGGGGGCTCTGCTGTAAGGTGGTACTCTGCTGTAAGGGGGGACTCTCTAGACTCTGATGTGAGGTGGTGGAACTCTGGGGACATTGATTTAAAGTGGGACTTTGGAGACACAGATGTAAGGGGGGACTCTGATGTATAGGGGGAAAGCTTTGATGTAAAGGAGGACTCTGATGTAAATGTGCTGCTCAGTTTAAAAAGTATAAACTAACCCTTAAGCTGCATGCAAATGGACACATTTGGGTATCCAATGAAAATTGTGTTCATATGTCCACGCATGGCAGACACAGCTGCAGCATTCAGCTACCCATAAGAATAAATGGCTTTATGTTAGCTTTGCGTGGGTATATGCCATGTTTGTGTAAAGGCATGGACATAACTCCATGAACATGGCTTTTGTGCGCATACCCACATACAGTCATTCATAGCTATGAGTTGCTATTTACTTAAATGCTTCTCCCAGGCATTGCAAGAGACCCCCCAGTTTAAATTGGATGCCTGAAAACATCTGTGTGCATGAGTTCCAATGCTACATCCACACTAGCCTCCGGAATTTGGTTTATTTAACACAGGAAAAATGATCTGGGAAGTATAAATGAACTTTATGTATCTCGGACCACGTTCTCCTGCATTTAAATATAATTATGTAAGTGTACACATGTTGATATTATCTAATCTCCTTCTGGATGCATTGAATTCTATTTTCTCTAATCTGAATGCATCCAAAAGGAGGTAAATGCACAGAGTGAACTGTACAATTTAAAAGCATTACCTCAATTTTTATACATTTAGAAATATTCTATAAATGCATAGATATCATTGCCAGCGGTTTTAGGATAAAATGTGTCCATGTATAAAAAATTTTTCTTATAAATGACAGTGTTGTGCTCCCTGCATTAATGTTCTGAATAAGGTCAGGAAGAATGGAAAATAAGGGCACCCTGGCTAACCTACATTTTTAGTAAGAATCAATTTTATCAGCAGTAGTTTGCAAAATCACCACTAGATGTCAGGACGACTCTTTCACAGCCTGTTTGGGATACTTACAGTGTTTGAAAATCACCTCAGGTTGAAATGAGCATACAAGCAAGCTGGTTATATAATATTCATTGTACATACTGTGGGCCTTCTGGATAATTTTACTGCTGCAGTTTAGTCTGACAGATTGGAATTTGATGCCAACCTTTTTTTTTGAAGTTGTAAATGCCAGACAGAAGTTCTTTGTACTTGAAAGCATTGGAGTATTGATACACTGAGTGTTTTAATATAATTAAGAAGGCTTTACTACTTTTTTTTCAGTAATATATTGTTACTAAGAACCTTTATAGAGAACCTCTAAATATAACATTTTGTGTACAGTGGCAAAAATATGTTGACAGTGGGTACCAAAATGTAGCAGAACACAGCACTGGCTTGTCACCTTTCTTTTTTACGTACCCAAATGCACTCATTTGAAGCTGTTGGCTTCGACTTCAATGGGGAGTACCATGTGGAGAGGTCTGGGCCAGAACCTGTGGGTTCTCTGACTATGCAGGAAAGAACTTTTGGAAAATCAGTGGTGAATCACTGCACATTACAGTGCCTGCCTCAAGCAAACATTTATTATATTTATATATCCTCTCCTTGATAAAGATCATCATTTCTGATTAAAATAATAGATTGAGGCTGCAGGTGATGTCACCTAGGTAGGGGAATTTATGTTTTGTGCCTTCTGTGGGAAGTACTCACCCCGCACACCAACAAACACAGGCTCAGTCAAATTGTCTTTTTGTGGATTTATTGCAGTTATTAGGAGAGTGGAGTGAGGGTGCAGGACACTCCTAAATGTGAAACAGCTGCAGGAGGACAGATTCTCCAGCACAAATCTTTTAGCAGTAGCCTTTAAATATTGCTGGAGGTAAACGGGATAGAAAGCTGATTTGAGACTCTGTATGAGTAGTCCCAATTTTTGCACCAACTTCTGGCATTCCATTCCCAAAGCATGTGCAAACCTGAAGTCCAGGAAAAAGGTCCTACTCATTATGTCCAAAGACAGCTGTCTTTTACCAGCTTCAATGCAAGGCTCTCCAGTGTTTAATGGATCCTTCTCCAACCCATCAACAGTGGACCCCAGCAAATGTCTCAAAGTTCAGATTCTCCCAGGCCCTCAGCCAGACACATGCTCAGCCCTAGCCTAACATATCTTCAGTACACAGCCTTTCACCCAGGAGCAACAACCCCAGGAAATAGCAGAAAGAATAATTAACGAGCGCTTGGAGATGGATAGCAAGCAGCTGGCATGAAAGGCACAAACCTCAAACCTTCACACTATAATAACAACACATGCAGCGCTACAAATGGTTAATATAAAGTAACATATAAAGTAATAAGTGATGGGCTACTGGTGCTTAGTAGTGATTGATAAGTGTCCTCATAACATGATACAATAGTCCCAATAAGCCGTGCAAAAGTGGTTGACTCCGTGCTGAAAAGTGTCTAATATTATGCACTCACCAGAAAGCGCATAATATGCGCATTTGAGTTGTCAGACCACTCCTGGTCCTAGAAAGCTGAACCTGTGTGGATCATCTGGCAAGCTGTCACTCTGATGGGGATAACCTTTTCCTTGGCCAGCAGGGGGATTCCAGACATCCAGAGACCCTTAATAACACTGATCCAGGTTCCTCACCCAGGGCACTCATATGAGGTATCCACCAGGGTTGTAGTCTCCACCAAGTGCTTCCAGCTCTCCTGCCAGGGCTCTGTCTTCAGACTTGCAGTAATAGCTACTGCTATTCCACCTCCAGCACCAGTGCCAGTACTGGAAGTGGAATAGCACCAGCACCAGTGCTGGAGGTGGAATAGCAGTAGCTATTACTGCAAGTCTGAAGACAGAGCCCTGGCAGGAGAGCTGGAAGCACTTGGTGGAGACTACAACCCTGGTGGATACCTCATATGAGTGCCCTGGGTGAGGAACCTGGATCAGTGTTATTAAGGGTCTCTGGATGTCTGGAATCCCCCTGCTGGCCAAGGAAAAGGTTATCCCCATCAGAGTGACAGCTTGCCAGATGATCCACACAGGTTCAGCTTTCTAGGACCAGGAGTGGTCTGACAACTCAAATGCGCATATTATGCGCTTTCTGGTGAGTGCATAATATTAGACACTTTTCAGCACGGAGTCAACCACTTTTGCACGGCTTATTGGGACTATTGTATCATGTTATGAGGACACTTATCAATCACTACTAAGCACCAGTAGCCCATCACTTATTACTTTATATGTTACTTTATATTAACCATTTGTAGCGCTGCATGTGTTGTTATTAACCCCAGGAGAATGACCCTGCTCAACAGGTTTCCTAAACATTTATCTTTTCCCCAGCCACCTTCTGGGTGTCTTCTTCCAGAGATTGGCTAAGGTTAGATAAATATTTATAACTTCAGTGGCTAACTCCTAATATATTTATGGTAACTTCTTCAGGCAAGCAGGAGCGCAATCAACCACCAGACTTAGTGATACCTAACCAGACCTAGAACACAAATCACCCTTTCCCTGAGTACAGCAGAGCCAAAATAGTAAATTTAGCCTGAATAGGGCAGGGCACTACATGTGATTGACACTGCATCCGGGATCCCGGCGGCTGATACCATCTCTCTCTCTCTCTTCCTAAGTACCTTCTCTGTAATTACCCTTGGTATAGAAAATTTTTAGCAATGCTATCTTTAAAAGTTTTTTCCCCAATCGCTATTATCGTCGTAGTAGTTACCATAGTATTTTAAATGCTCATCTTAGTCTTTGCATTTAGAGAAAGGCTGTCTTGTATTCTTAGGCCAGTGTTATTTTGTATTAACATCTGTTTTATGTACTGCACATGGCTTGCTGGGCATTTTAGTCTGCTGGCCGGCACTTGCCCTTAAATACCACCTCCAAGATGGCCCCCCTCATGGCCTGATGAAGGAGCACACATGCTCTGATCGTGTGCCATGTCCACCGCTTCTGTATCCATTGCTGACCTCACTTCTGCCTCCCCAAGGCATCCAGACCGACCAGAAGTTGCTGGGAGCCACCAGCACAACCAAGGGCTGAACTTGGAATTCACCACAGCAGGACCAGACCAGCACACTGCAGCAGTGTTACTTAGAGAGCACTTTTACTTCTGACCTTTGTGGGTTGCCACTTTGTTGTTGAATACAGTTAGTGCTTTTATGCTACATTTAGAAGGCACTGCTTCTCCTCTATTTAATAAAATAAATAAATTTAATAAATCTACCTGCCTTCTTACAGTCCTCTGTAGAATGTACACTGAGCTGTGCATGTGCAGGCACTGTGCCAGGGTGACTGCACTTTTGTGCATGCACTGGAGTAAAGTCAACCCACTCCAACAAATCAAGATGGTTGAAGACCAGCAGCCAGGAAGAAGCCTGACAGAAGATGTCGGAGCCCACGAGGGACCTTGCAGATGCTGGACCATTGAGGCAGAGGTAACTCATTCTGTTTTAGCAACAACAGAGAAAAATTTGGTCTCCTCCCATCAGGTTGGGCTGTGCTTCGAGGCACTGCTGTGTATATCTTAAAACTGGGTGGACAAAATAAAAAAAGTTTGACAAATGTAAAAACGCCTTGCAAGCAGGGGCAGACTGACCACTCATGAGGCCCTGGGCAATAGGGGATCATGGGGCCCCTGTGTCCTTGCCCAAACTCAAAAAAGCCTGTGAAAAAGATACCAGGGTCATCTCATGGGGCCCCCTACTGACCCCGGGCCCTCGGGCAGTGCCCGAGTTTCCAAATGGTCAGGTATTTACCTGTTTGCCTGGAGGTTAGTTTTAACCACTTGCCTTCCAGAGGATTTACCCCCCTTCCTGACCAGGCCATTTTTTGCATTACGGCACTGCGTTACTTTAACTGACGGTCATGCAAAGCTGCACCCAAATGAAATTTATGTCCTTTTTCCCATTAATTGAGCTATCTTTCAGTGGTATTTGATCGCCTGTGAATTTTTTATTTTTTGTACTATAAAAAAAGGCCGACAATTTTGAGAAAAAAACAATATTTTTGACTTTTTGCTATTAAACATGTCCAGTATAAAAATAAAAAAAATCAAATTTCATCATAAATTTAGGCCAAAATGTATTCTGCTACATGTCTTTGCTAAAAAAAATCCCAATCCGTGTAAATTAATTGGTTTACGTGAAAGTTTTAGCATTTACAAATGGCAGTAAATGCAGGGACTGCAGCGGGCATTCTGACACTGGGGGGAATTGGCATCACTGACATCCCCAGTGACACCATCACAGTGATCAGTGCTAATAAAAAGCGCTGACACTGTACTAATGTCACTGGGCAGGAAGGGGTTAGCATAAGGGTGATCAAAGAGTTAACTGTGTGGAGGGAGTATTTTACATAGGGGGCTGTGTCAGTGTAAGCACACTGCTTTGGATGGCTGTGCTGTGCACAGCCATTCAAAGCAGTGTGCCCGCTCTGACAGGGAGGAGAACTGTTAGTAAACAAAATAGTTCTCCTCCCTGTTGGAGATCGTCGGAAATCACCGAGCGCCGGCAAGTAATCACCGGCTGCGACCCGGCACATGCCCCCTACCCAGAAATGTAAAATAATGTATATACATGATTTTGCGCACCCATGCTGCCCTGTAGCAGTATTTTTTCTATAGGGCGGCGCAGAAGCGGTTAAAGAGAATGCATACATTTTGTTCATATTTACTTTCTTTCTTATGGTCAGAAGAGTTACTCAACCCTTATCAGACAGCCCAGTCTCAAGTTTCAATGTGGGAGAATGTGCATGAAAGGGAGCTAATATTGTTGTACTGTTTCTATAGCTAGCTAGCTAACCCATAGTGTTCTGGGAATCCTTTTTTTTCAGAAAATAAGAAATGTGTGTGTATGTCTGTATATATATATATATATATATATATATATATATATATATATTATACTGTACATCTAAAAAGATTTTTAATAAAATGTGCTGTTTATGTACCAAAACCATTATACATCACTAAACATTTCATACAACCAACCCACATTTGTAATTTTGAAAAGCCATTATGAAGAAAATTAGTAGTAAAAAGTTGGGTGGTATTTAAAAAAGCTATACAAAAATTAAGAAAAATAATTAGCAAAATATGAACTAGTTCACCCTCCTTAGCCTTGCAACCTAAATTAACCTCCCACCTTGCTGCTCCTTTTGAGACTGGAGACACTCTAAGTAGATCCCCTATTCCAGTCTATGGAGGCTCACTGCACAGGGGTACACCTGAGTATGTAAACAATAAAGGAGGCCATGGCTATCATGGTCTGCTATGTATGGAGCTGGGTGGGGGTTGTCTAGATTAGTTTAGGTTACAGGACTATGGAAGGTGGACTTGTACGTTGTTTCACTATAAGACCACTTGTCCTTTAAGACTATAAAATACCAGAAAGTCTTGAAATGCCATTTCACTTTTGCAGGATATATAAATTAATCTTCTAAAAGGTCACAACAAGTTACTTCAACCACTCAAAGAGTAAAGTGTGGTATAACTGTGGATATGTATCAGTGTACTTTGCTTCCTTGACAGCTTCAAATGCAATCCCCACTGCAACATCACTGTAAATGTTAGAGCTGTACGCAGCAGCACAAACATAGCAGTAATGTAATTTAGTTCACTTATTAGCTTGCTAGACCTCAACGTCCATCGGTACTGAAGAAGTATGGAGGCTGCCACTGCTGACCTTTCCTTGTGAAAATTCTAGTTCTTTGGTTGTAATGCTGATCCAAAGTCTACAGTACCTTTGATTACCAGGACAGATTGAAAGTTATGACCTGACTATGACTTTCACAATTTGCATGCTTGTTCCACGCCCGTAATTTATAAGGTACTGAAGTGACAAACAGCAAGGAAACTAGTATATTAACATAGTAGCTTCAGTGATGTATTTATCATGAGGCAAACAAGGCTTTTGCCTAGGGTGGCAATTTTCAGGGGGGCGCTGCTGCACCCCAGTAAAAAGGACACAAGTGGCAGGGATGGGGACTTGGTCAGCTTCTCCATGAGATCCAAGGAGGATGCGTGCTTCTGGAGGGTGCGGGGATGGGCAGCTGCTTCTTTCATTCCAAAGGTTAGGCTTTGTGCATGAATTGGGAAGTTGCAGTGGGAAGGGGGGGCGGTGGGGGATGTGTGTTGGTTGGTGGTGGCACTGGGTGGGGGTGGTGGGGGGATGGTTGAGGGGGATTGCGATGATGGGCTGTTGTGGCGGGGAGGGGTTCAGGCAGGGGTGGACTGACAACTCATGGGGCTCCTGGGCAACAGGGGATCATGGGGCCCCTGTGTCCTCACCCACACTCAAACCACACCCAAAAAAGCCTATGAAAAGGTACCAGGGGCATCTCATGGGGCCCCCTACCGACCCCGGGCCCTTGGGCAGTGCCCGAGTTCCCAAATGGTCAGTCCGCCCCTGGGTTCGGGGGCACCTAATTTTAGTGCTGCCTAGCACATGAACTAAATACACCACTGGGTGGCTTCACAGGTTTCCTCTAACACAAAGAAAAATGTTCTACATAAGACCAGTAGCATCTTTTCCAGGATGATAAGTTAGAGGGTGTAACAGGATCTTTGCCTCTACTTCCCTCACCACAGTAGTCAATAGAGATTCTATTTTTTGATCGGTTGAATGTTTTCCTCAATAAGAACAGGCATCTGTTGCTGAGATGTGAAGGTCGTTCTAAAATGGCATTCAGAAGAAACACTTTTCTTTGGGACCTGAAAGGTGACTAATGCTCCATTCACATTAGGGCATTTCAAATCGCGGGCAGAATCGCCGCAATTCTGCCTGCATTTTGAAAACGTGCTGTGAAAATGCTCGACTGCGTGTTAAGGTGCTATTCATTGCAATGGCACCTGAAAACACAGGGTGTTTTTGCTGTGCTCTTGGTGTGTTTGTCCATGTGACAAACGCATCGCAATCGCTCAAACAAATTTATAGGACGCACTACTCCTAAAAACAGTTCCAGAATCGCATCCCATGATTTTGTTTGGGCAATTGTAGTGTGTTTGTCGAGCGGAAAAAAAAAGCATTGTGAACTAGGCAAAAATGCCCCACATTTTCAGCTGTCATTGAAATGAATAGCACCTAAACAAACGTTTTCACAGTGCATTTTCAAATTGTTGGGAGAATCCAGGGGTGGACTGACAATTGAGGGACTTGGGTACTGCCCGAGGGCCCGGGGTCAGTAGTGGGCCCCATGAAATGCCCCTGCTACCTTTTTTATAGGCTTTTTTGGGTGTGCTTTGAGTGTGGGCAAGGACACAGGGGCCCCATGATCCCCTATTGCCCAGGGGCCCCATAAGTTGTCAGTCCGCCCCTGGGAGAATTGCATCGATTTCACCTGCAATTTGAAATGCCCTCGTGTGAATGGAGCCTAAATCATGCACAGTTTGAGGACCTTGTGGGGTTCCCCTGTACTTAGAGAGTACAGGGCTGGGACAATCTTCCCCCAGGGATTTCCAAAGAGTCTGGAAGCATGTAAAAGACTCTGAACCAGGGGCCGACTGACAACTCATGGGGCCCCCGGGCAATAGGGGATCATGGGGCCCCTGTGTCCTTGCCCAAACTCAAAAAACCCTATGAAAATGGTACCAGGGGCATCTCATGGGGCCCCCTACTGACCCCGGGCCCTCGGGCAGCGCCCGAGTTTCCAAATGGTCAGTCTGCCCCTGCTCTGAACTGTTAGGCTCCAGACACACTGGGCCGTTTAATAATGCTGGTAACTTTAGCTGTGTAAATTCATGTTAACAATTTGAGTTTTTCAGCGTTTTTGCATTAGCGTTTAGTGGTATTTTGTCACGGTTTTTGTAGGCTTTTTTGACCAAAAAGAAAAATGTTGGGGGAGGTGAAACGCTGGTTTGCCGCAATTTACCAAGTTTTGCCATGTTTTTCAGCTTTAGAGCATTTTTACAGTTAGAAACCCACTAGTTCTGGGGGGTTTTTCCAGCCAAAAAACGCCCCTGCCAAAAAATGTTGATTACAGTCTATGTATGCATGGACCAGGGGCGGACTGACCATTCGAGCACTAGGGCACTGCCCGAGGGCCTCGGGTCAGTAGGGGGCCCCATAAAATGCCCATGGTACCTTTTTATAGGCTTTTTTGGGTGTGTTTTGAGTGTGGGCAAGGACACAGGGGCCCCATGATCCCCAATTGCCCGGGGCCCCATGAGTTGTCAGTCCGCCCCTGGCATGGACACAAAGGGTAACATGCTGGGGAGTTTACTGACTGTAAAAAAAAACATCAAAAGCTAAAAAACAGCCGCTGTAAAAATGTCCAGTGTGCATGAGGACTTAAACAGCAAGAAAGTACATCAAACAACTACAGGTAATGTTATTGACCTTGAAGTATCATGTTCATGTTCCACAATTGAAGCATTTAGTAGACAACCTAAGCATGAGATAGTATCAACCTTCATTGCCTTCAGCAGTACTGCCAAAAGAACCTGTAGGGTGGAAGCAGTGGCTAAAGCGGTAGTAAACCGTGACCTTTTAAAAAAACTAAAAACAAACCTGCAAGACAAGGGCATAATGTGCTAGTATGCATGGCATACTAGCACACTATATGAAACTTGCCTTCAAACAAAGCCCTCTAGTGGCTCATTGTCACCGCTGACAGAGCTTCCATCTTCACCCGGTCCTTCTTCCGGGTCCGCGGGCTCAGGCGGCTTGAATGGACGAGCCACGATGATGTCGCTCGCATGCAGGAGTCACTTTTTACAGCGCACAGCTCTGAAGGAACGACACAGGCATGGGGTTCCTTCAGAGCTCATGCGCCGGTGTCTTTTGCAAGTGCATGTTTAGGAGATATTTACAGTACAGGTCATTTTTATTATAGGCTTGCCTGTAGTTACAAGTGAAAAAAAACGACTTTACTACCAATTTAAGGAGGATGGAAGGTTGAGCACTTAGTGAGGTGTGGAACAAATGCATAAGGCATCATGCACACTGGACATTTGGCCACCTTTCCTAGACATCTTAACACCTGGCTACAGTGTTTTGACAGAAATAAATGCTTGGCTCTTGTAAACATGTGTAACGCGTTTAGTGCCCGGTCATACCAGGTGTAACTTACAATGCAATTTGCCATGTCATGCAAGTTTCAAATCGCATGGCAAATTGCACCCTATTGTCCGCAATGAAAGTAGTCATTTCGGTGTGATTGTGACTTGGTCGGAGCCGTACCGATTTCTAAAGTAGTGCATGCACTACTTCAGGTACGACTTGCATAGACATCTGTACGACTTGAATGACATCCAAATTTGAAATCGTGTGACTTCACTTGAACACTCTGTGACCAGGCACATCAAGCGCTTGGGCGTTAATTCATTTCATTCAAATAAAATATTATTCTGGCCTTTGAAATGAATTAATGCTCAAGAGCTAAATGCACGTTTAGATGCATTTATTCTCGCCATGATTTTTTTTCAAAAGACTCTAAAAGATTTCCAAAGTTAGAGAGAGATTGCAAGCACCTGCAGAAGGTACAGAAAAAGTTATAATTGCTTCAAGGATTATATGTAAATATATAAACCTATTTCATATTCCTGATATGTACCTGCTGTACTATGAACTCCTGTTCTCTTTGTATTGCATGTTTTGTATGAAATCCATGGTGTTCCTGCCAGACCCCCTGCATTCCTATTAAAAACTGACTACACTAGGCATGAGAGCACAGCGTGGTTAGTTCTCTAGCTGTGCTGGGAACTCAGCCTGCTCTCCACCAATGATCATACTTCTGCTGACACCCCCTTTCTCCTGCACAGCCTTTCACTGGGAAGATCAGTATGCTGAAAACAGAAGGGGAAAGTCCAGACGTGAAAAGGAAAAATCCACTTATTTCACAAATGCAAGTATGAGCTATTCCAACATCCAGCAACCAGAAAATATCTATCCTACAGTATCAACAGCAAAGCATCCAATGACTACCAGTGAACAACCCCAGGTCATGGTTCCCCAACAACAGCCCATGTTGAATGTACCACAAGATTTGTATAACCAATCCTCAGAGTCTACCTCCTATCCTCTTTATTCCTGTCCTGTTCCCCAGGAGAGGTTTATGATGCACCAGGCCTCACCCAACATGTGCTAGCAACAAAAGTCACAATCTAACAATCAACAGCACCTGTACAAAAGCATGGTTCATGTCATGAGCCCCAAGGCAATGGACTTGAGCAGACAATCTTATAGGCTGCCTACAAAGTCTAATTGCATGATGGACTTCAGTAGCTACCCACCCAACAAGACCATCACACTAGAAATGAGTGTCAACATCCCACAATCCCACCATCTACAGCTACAAGGAACCACAGTGAAGTCAATCCTTATACAAGGCAAAAACGTACTCAATGTCAACCGTGCATGATAAATACTGCATTGAAAGTTCTGAGTCCGATTCTGATGTCTGTGACAAGTCTCCAGATTCTGGCTGTGATCCTAAAGAAAGTCTCCCTTCTGTTCTCTCTAGACTGGAACTGCTGAACACCAAAAATTAGTTGGGTGGCACAGTGGCTAAGTGGTTAGCACTTCTGCCTAGCAGTACTAGGGTCACTGGTTCAAATCCCAACCACAACACCACCTGCCTGGAGTTTGCATGTTCTCCCTGTTCCTGCGTGGGTTTCCTCCCACACTCCAAAGACATGCTGGTAGGTTAATTGGCTCCTGTCTAAATTGTCCCTAGTATGTGTATGTATGAATGTGAGTTAGGGACCTTAGATTGTACACCCCTTGAGGGTTAGGGACTGATGTGAATGTACAATATATATATGTAAAGCGCTGTGTAAATTGATGACGCTATATAAGTACCTGAAATAAATAATAATATGTTGCTGTTTCTCCTCCCCCAGCTCTTATGTAGCTGAGAAAAGAGATTATTTAAAAAAGGTATTTATAATATTTTTATATCTACACACAAATGTTTTGTCTTTAATTTATATTTTAAACTAAGTGGGTTGTCTTACAAGGTGAGGGTTTACAATCACTTTAATTTTACTCCTTGGCACCAACCATATGCAAATATGCAGCCTCTCAGTGGCTGGGCCTTGGCACCAAGGGGCCATATATCTGCATACCCAATGTAAACAAAAGATGTACCGAGAGCCTGCTCCTTGGGCGCTCCCAGCACATTTACCAGCGCCTCATGGAAAATTCCCAATCGCTACTTGTCGAGAGCTTTCTGATCATATGACTGCCGTGACAGCCAATCATGGCGGTCACATGACCCTAAACCCCACCCCGCTTCCCGCGGTGTCACAAACCCCTTAAAGGGCTGGGAGGTGCTGGCGCCAAGGGGTTAAAGAGAAAAACATCTTTAAAAAAAGAGGAAACCTATTTTGTAGATCGTCTAATACATTAGGCAGTTGTTTTACCATTGATTACAAGAAAAATCCTATCAAAAAGAAAAAAAGTCATCCGAAAGTTGCCTGGTATTTATCTGAAGCTGCCATGAAAAATGTACATTATAGCAATGTTATTGACAGTTACAGATTTCATTCTTAGACAGTATAATTATTCAAAGTCTATTCTGTAAATCCTCAAATTTGACTTCACCCTTTTTCTGAAGCATTAAAGCAATGGTATATAATTATGGGAGGTAACGTTTTGCTAAATCTGGCATGTTTATCTTATAGGGTTGGTGTTTCAGTGTGACACTGCTAAATCTGGGACACATCAATTCATATTTATGATCACAGTTTATCTTCAACAGATCCTCGCATGTTTAATTAGTAAATTTAAAGGCTTCAGAAGTTGTTGGAGAGTCCTGGGCCACACCTTAGCCACAAACTTCCCAGGGCGAAACATAATATTTTCCTACTTTTTTTATGAGTTCCACATTTTTTTTAAGAAAACAAAAGGTGATAATTATATATGCCTAGCATTTTTTAACGCATAAAACAAGTATGTGACATGTTTTTTCAGCATGTTGAATTTGCATAGAAATCACTTTTGCTGTTTAAATTCATCCTGCCATTTCCAATGATTTGGATCACAGCAGAAGTCACAGACCTTTAAAGTAACATAGTACTGAATTTAAAAAAAAAAAAAACGTATAAAAAGGACACAAGGAGAGGATTTGAAGCTGAAGTTTGGTTACATTTCATTTCTTTTTAAATCAGCAAAAGGGATGGTACTTATATTGAATGAGAAGCATCCCTTGTGCTTGTGGCTGTTCTGTTTGATGAAATCTGCCACTGCGATAGCCCTATAACTGGGATGTTCTGTTGTGTGGGGTCATTAGACCTGTCAAAAGCATTTATCAAAATTGCCATCTGTTACACAACCTCTCACTTCATGAATGCTGTACTATCACTTCGCACAATGAAAAGCACTCTATGAATGGGGGAGGCTGACCTTCCATTCACTAATGCATCCATCTATCCTCCTTTCATTGTGGGAAACAATAGTACAGTTTTTATGAATGGAGCACAGGGTGGAAAGGATGGGCATAGTCGGCACATTTGATGGGTGCCTGTGAGGGTGGGGCAGAGAAATGAAGATTTCACCAAGCACGGCATCCAACAGCACAAGGGACACTTCTCATTTAATGAAAGTACTGTCCCTTTTGCTGATTAAAAAAAAAAACTTAGAGTGTTACTAAACCCAGGACCCTGCATTCACTATATCTGGTCTCCCACAGTACACACAACATGGAAATGCAATTATTTTAGTAAATATAAACTGCTAAATACCTTATCTCATCAGCAGTTAGAGCAGTCTTGTGACTTCTATCAGTGTCCAGCAAAACACTGGTTAAAGCTTGTAGAAGGAGTTTTCGTTCTCCCCTATAAGGCTGCAGGACCCTTGACCCTTTGTCTGCTGATTGGCCATGTGCTGATCACATGCACTCTCTCAGTTAAAAAAAAAAACAAACTCTCTAGCAATACACAGCAAACTGAGCATGTGCAGCTAGTCTCCAAGCCTCTGTTCTATCAGAAGTTATATTGGGGACAGTAGAAGAAGGGGAAGATCAGAGAAGACAGGATCAAACATCCTTTTTACATAAGGATTAACCCCTTAGGTTCCACAGTGAGTATAACAAGCATGCTTTACTGCATATACAGACTGATTTCACTGTTGTGGGTTTAGTAACACTTTAAGCTTTAACGCTCACCTGATCTGCTGTCTATACCACCAGTTTTCACTTTCTTGAAGAGAACTTTAAGAAAACTGATTAAGAGTCTTCAGCATCCAAACTTGTCCACCATTGCATGTTCCTTCTGCTGGCCTCAACATTTCCTTTGGTGACATAGTGGCTGGTGTAAGGAACCACAAAGTGCACAGGGGGACCTGGCCTCTTTAAGACTTGATCAACACAGGATTACTGGATACCAGAGAACTCTAAAGTACAAGCAGCAATTTGTTTCTGTGGTCTCTATCTCTAGTCAGGCCCTTTCCACATCTCATTATTGGTTGGTGAAACTGTGCACATTGTTGGGTCAATACCAGGTGAACGGGTGAACTAGAACCAGGAAGCTGACTGATGAACATGTTTTTCTACTATTTGGGGGGTCCTAGAATGCTGTAATGATGACGACAACTGACATACAGGCTCCTGAAGGTCTCTACAATACAAGGCAAATATCAGTTTCTATTACTCCAAGGTATACTTTAAAGAGTTTATAGATTTTCTTTGAAGTTAATAAAATAATCATTCATGGAACAGTGAATCATGTACAAAAATTCCTTACAGCCAGTGCTCAATATTAAAGGATACTGTTCTGATGGTTAATAGATGTCCAAAGTACATTCACATGTTAGAACTAAAAACTTAGGCAATGCTGTTCCCAACCCTGCAGCTGTCTTCGGACTGGGTAAATCTTCAAGCAACACTAAAAGGCAAAAAGAACGTGCCAGTCTTGTGCAATGCTATGAATATGTTTTTTTTTTTAAATAACATCAATTCAAATACTCATAACAGTACTAGAAAAAACAACATTTAATGTGGTTGCAAACCCTCACATACTGTATACCCTGGCCTCAAGTGACACAGAGATTCAACAAATCCTCCTACATAACGTTGTACCTGTTTATCTGAACCTTCTCTCCTCTACATCTGTTCACACTGCATTTTTTTTTTACAGCTTGTCTGAGCTTTTGGAAAGCAGATCTTGCTGAGAAGAACTCCGAGAGCTGACTGACAGGAAGGGACACAGCCCCTGTCACCTTTTAACTGCTTGGTGTCAGGAAAACGTACAAAGAGGCGGTGCATTGCTGGCTATAAAAAATAGACATAAAATTAGTCCATAAGCATCTCATTATAAGGTCCAAATAAAAGACCAAAAGGATGGTGCAAAAAAAACTAAAATAAGAGCTTACAGTCCATAAAGATCCTTATTGAAAAAGTCATAGTTGATGGTGCTCAGAGGGATAGAACACTCAAAGGAAGAATCTCCACTCCAAACCAAACAAACTGCCTCTTATCCGGTGTTTTGACCGCCCAACCAGGACCAGTCAAAAGGCGTAGTAGTAGCAACACTATAAACGGCACAGCAGGACCTTCAGCCGTTTTTTCTCAATGGCTCCACTCTATTGGCCAAATCGGCTCCAGTCAAATAGCATTAATTCCAGCATCTGATTTATTTGAAGGCCCCAGCACTTTCTTGGGAATGTAGCAATTTTGAAAATGCCCTTAAAAACAAGGAAAACTTGTAAGAAGTGACTCATGCAGATAGCAGAGGAACAAGGCAACTGACACTTAGGGGTTGATTTACTAAAGGCAAATAGACTGTTCACTTTGCAAAGTGCAGTTGCACTCTGCAAGAGCAGTTGCTCCAGAGTTTAATAAATGAGCAGAAGCTCTGCTGACTTCCACCATCCAAACATGTGCTAGCAAAAGTGCTTTTTTTCAGTTTTCCTTGTATGTGATTGGATATTCCATGCAAAGTGAACCTTTACGTCATTCCAAAGCTCTGGAGCAATTGCACTTGCAGAGTGCAACTGCACCTTGTATGGTGCACAGTCTATTTGCCTTTAGTAAATCAACCCCACAGTGCTCTGGATTGAGACAAGTACACACTTGTATAGAAGGATATGCTTTTATTAAAAAAATTACTTCAAATGCTTACAAAGGTACTGGAAAAATCAGTATTTAACCACTTGCCTACAGAACATTTATACCCCCTTCCTGCCCAGGCCAGTTTTCAGCTTTCAGTGGTGGCGCACTTTGAATGACAATTGCGCTGTCATGCAACACTGTACCCATATGAAATTTTTATCATTTTTTTTAAGACAGAGCTTTCTTTTGGTGGAATTTAATCACCTCTGGGTTTTATACTTTTAGCTAAACAAACCAAAAACAACTGAAAATTTTGAAAAAAAAGTTTTTTCTTAGTTTTTGTTATAAAATTTTGTAAATAAGTTATTTTTCTCCTTCACTGATGTGCACTAACGAGGCTGCAGTGATGGGCAATGATAGGCTGCACTGATGGGCACTAATAGGTGGCACTGATGGGCACTGATGAGGAGGCACTAGTAGGTGGCACTGATGGGCATTGACAGGCATCACCGATGAGCACTGAAAGGCAGCACTCATATATGGCACTGATAGACGGCACTGACTGGCACTGTTAGGCGGCAGTAATAGGCAGTACTGACAGGCACTGATAGGTGGCACTGACTGGCACTGATGGGTGGCACTGACTGGCATTGATAGGTGGCACTGACTGGCAGCTAAGGTGGGCACTGATATGTGGCATTAATGTGCACTGGTAGGCACTGACATGTGGCATTGATGAGGCACTGATGGGCACTGGCAGGTGGCATTGATGAGCACTGACAGCTGGCATTGATGGGCACTGACAGGTGGCACTGCTGGGGCTACACTGATCATCAGGGCACATTGATCATCAGTGCCCTGATGATCAGTGTAGATGTCCTCTCCGTGGAATGCCGATTACCGGCTCTCCTCTCCTCTCGAGCTGTCAGCGTGACAGCTCGTGAGGAAAGAAATGCAGATAACCGGCATTTCCCTATTTACATGCGATCAGCTGTGATTGGACACAGCTAATTACATGACCGAGCCAACATCTTTGGCTCTTTCCGTTGATCGGTGATCCACTGTGTTCGAGGGACACAGTGCACCATCGTTCGCCGCACTCCGCACTCCTGTAGCCGCGCACGTTCAGTTAGAGTGGAAGGACATCATATGACGTCCTCCCAGAACGAGAGACCCGCCTTACGCCTGTCATTACCTTATATGGTGGGTGGGAGGCGGTTAAAATGCACCATCCATCCTGATATGGATCACCTCAAATCTCCAACACACAGATTGTATTTCATTTTCTAGATATATTTTTGAGATTCGAGATGATCCATACCAGGACAGATGCTGCATTTTAAATACTGCTTTTTTAAGTACCGTTGTGAGTATATGAAGTAATTTTATTAATCCCTTGCTCTGCAGAGGATTTACCCCCCTTCCTGACCACGTCATTTTTTTGCGTTACAGCGCTGCTTTACTTTTAACTAACAATTGCGCAGTCATGCAACACTGCACCCAAATTAAGTTTGTGTCCTTTTTTTCCCCCCAAATGGCGCTTTCTTTTGGTGGTATTTGATCGCCTGTGCGTTTTTTATTTTTTGCGCTATAAAAAGAAAGACCGCCAAGTTTGAGAAAAAAACTATATCTTTTACTTTTTGCAATTAAACATGTCCAGTAAAAAAAAATTTAAAAAGTCAAATTTTATAATAAATTTAGGCCAAAATGTATTCTGCTACGTCTTTGCTTAAAAAAAATCTCAATCCGTGTAAATTAATTGGTTTACGTGAAAGTTATAGTGTTTACAATTGGCGATATATATACTGGAATTTTTATTTTTTATTTTTACTAGTAATGGCGGCGATCAGCAACTTGTAGTGGGACTGCGGCTGGCATTCTGACATTGGGGGAACTGACTTGGTATTACTGACATCCCCAGTGACACCATACAGTGATCAGTGCTAAAAAAAAAAACACTGACACAGTAATAATGACACTGGGCAGGAAGGGGTTAACATGAGGGGCAATCAAAGGGTTAAATGTGTGCTGGGTATGTTTTACTTGTGTCTGTGTGCTTCACTGTAATCACACTGCTTTGTATGGCTGTGCTATGCAGTGCCATCCAAAGCAGTGTGCACGAGCTGTTAGGGAGGAGAAGTGTTTTGTTTATAAACAGTTCTCCCCTCCGTCGGAGATCATCCACAATCACTGGGCACCAGTGAGTAATCACCAGCTGGGACCCAGTGATTGCAGCCGCGGCCGCGATTGGCAGTGCGGGCAGGGCATGTGCGCGCCTCGTGCGCGCCCCCTACCGGAGATGCAAAATCACGTGTATATATATACGTATATGTGATTTTGTGCACCCGTGCCGCCCTGTAGCAATATTTTGGCTATAGGGTGGATGGGAAGTGATTTATAAATGCATACTGATGGTGTACAAGGCTGGTGCGCTCTCATATTGTCTTTTATTATGGAACAGTGAATATATAACTACAAGAATATATAGAACTACAAGAATATACAGCTTTCCAAACTTCACGTGACGTCACCACGCTACACGGCCGCAGGTCGGAACTTCCATACACTGGGATTGCTACAGCTCCGGTATTGTTTTCTTTGACAGCTATGCAGTTTTTAATTATTGTGCGTGCATTAATTTACTCTTAATAAAATGTTTTAAGGTTTTGGGCATACTACACTATTAGTGCTTATTCCTTGCATGATTTACTGGTGCAGAGTCAATGGGAGAACCATCTCTGTGCCATAAACTGGAGAGTTGCATGGGGTTAACTCCTAAAGCGTTGTTGGCTTTTTTGATATAAAAGACCAATAACTCTAGTAAGAGCTCTTGCATGTCTGTGGTCTTCACCAGGTGTAATTTTCCTCCTTTCTTGATTCACTGAATGTGGTTTTTCCGTTCCTGTTGATGGTTGGGTTTCAGTCATTCAAGGAGTTTTCTTTGAGCACAAATTTTATATATCTGATGGACTTTAACATTATTTAGCACAAACTTTCATATGAA